ACGCGCACGGATAATCGTCAATCACCATGCAATCCCATCACGATCACGATTGGTGATCACGATTCACTCATTGGTGATTTCAAGGCAGCTCGTCACATGTAGGTACCTACAGCAATGAAGCAGCACACACGCACACGCACTCGCACTCGCATGCCGCGGGCCCGCCTGCATCCCTCGCCCTTTTCCCCTCCCCTCTCCTCTTTCCCTATTATCCAACGCTCGCATCCCTCCCCCCGACAATCCACGACGACACGACACTACACGACACGACACAAACATAAAGTTGCACGCGCAGAGCTGGGCATTCGAAAGCCGTCAAGCCAAGCATCAAGGAGAGAGAGAGAAAAAGAAGAGACAAACGAGAAGCGTTTGGTGCGGCGCACGCCCCGCGCGAGTTGCGGTCGAGGTTGATCAAGCAGGGTCCGTTCGAGCTGGGGCAGGGGGGGGTGGAGTGGGACGAAGGACGAAGGACGGGTGGATGGGTCGTGTCGTGCCGTGACGTGACGTGCCGTGCGCGCATCGAGGCAACAGCATCATAGAGGCTTGGTGCGGGCCCCAAGGGAGGACCCATGCCGAAAGAAACACAAGAAAAGTCCCCACCACGTTCGGCCTTGCATCAAGTCTTTGCTTGCCTCAAACTTTTTCCCGCTCCGATTTCGAATGAATGTTGCGTCTTCCTTGCAGCGCCCCTCTCGATCACTTTTCGCTTTCCTCCAGATCCCAAATTCCTTGTGCCAAGTCTTCAAGGCACGGCGCCGCCCCCCCCTTCTTCGTGTATTAGAATTCTCCAAAGTAAGAACCTGGCTTGACGCGTGACTGTTGTTTTTGGATAGGAGGGTACTAGAACATCGCAATCAGAATTTTGCCCGTTTTGAGATCAGAGCAGTCCGCGTGCAGGCGGTGGGATCAAAAGCCCGAGGTGGCGAGTTGAGGAGAAAACGCGGAGAGAGAGAGAGAGAGAGAGAGAGGAGGAATGCAAAGGGTCGCGAGCGAGCGAGCGAGGAAGGAAGCGTGCAAGAGAGGGGTTCGGCCAAGTTTCAGCTAACCTATCGAGAAGGGCAATGCGGAAACAAAGGGGAGACTACGCGGCCGGCTGTACATAGCAAGCTACGACTCGAGGCCGCGAGCGAGCGAGCGATAGCCATCCGTTCATCCTTACACGAGTGATGTAGCAAGACGAATGTGGAAAAGAAAACAGAGGGCAAAGAGGGGGGGGGCAACATGTCCTTCCAAAGACAAAAGGGCCGCACGGCCACACTCGACGGCTCCAGCACTGCAAACGAACGCAAAAAAACTCACCTTGTACGGGGCGGCCTTTCTAGTCTCGTCCCTAGAAGGTCTATAAGAGCTTCTTCCCTTGGCATCATTAAATCTGGCCAATTGTTTCCTCTTGCCATAATCCGTCTCCGACTCTCCCGGTCTCCTTTTCAACTCGCCCGTCTTGGCATCCCTCTCATCCGTCACTCCAGCGGCGGCGCCAGAAGCCGATGCCGATGCTGGACCTCCGTTGGCCTCGTTGAAAGCAGGATTCGCCTTTGCGTACGCTTCTGCCGCCAACTTTCTCTGGGCGTGCGCTGCAACGCGAGCCTTGAAGCCTTCTTCCGTCTCGCCCGGCTCCTTCTCCAAGTGCTGCTTGTGCTCCGTAGCGGCCAAGTGCGCCCTGAGCGCTTCATCCGGCGCAGTCTTGACCACGTGCACGCCATCCGGCGTGTGGAACGTGTGCTCCGTAGCTACTTGAGCCTCGAACGCCGCTCCATTCCAGCCGTCGTGCGACTCGTAGGCCCGTTGAGGAGCAGCGGGGCTGTGATCAGAAGGCATCTGAGCCTCGTAAGGGCTGACATACTTTTGTCCTTTGGCCTCTGCCTCTTTTCGTCGCCTCTCATCCTCCTCCTTCGTGGGTAGTCCCTCCGCTTTTCTCTCTCTGCGCTCCTCTTCATCCTCAATCCGTTGATGATGCGCAAAGTGCTCCAAGTCTTCCTTGTGCGTGTAGGCAGAATCGTCTTGCGTCTCGGGCGTATTGTGGTAGATTTCTTCGTGGTGCACAAAGTACTCGGACTCTTCGTCGTAATGATGACCCAGCGAGCTGGTGCCGTACTGTTCAAAGGATGGAAGGCCGTCCGGTCCAGCTGCGATGAACTCTGCCTTGGTCACGACGCCATCCCTGTTGTGGTCTAGACGACGAAGCACCTCGCTGACGATGTGATCAGCCTTGGCATCGTGCACTTCGTAGGTAGGTGAGACCTTGACCGATTCGCTGTGGTGTACGCCGTAAATGGCCTCGATCTCGGGACGCTGCAATCAGAGGCTCCTGCTATCAGCTGCCTTCTTTGTCACCCAAAGCTGCACTCTGACGACACTCACGTCGAGAATACCATCCCGATTGAGATCGTGGAGGGAAAAGAAGGCGCCAAGGTCGAAAGCCCCAATGTGGTGCTCGCTGGCCATATGACGTTGAATGTAGCTCTCCTCACCCTTCTTGTGAGGCTTCTCGTGAGCGATCTCAGCGGGTTCGATGAGATCCTCTGCGCCGCCGGAATGCGCCAAAGCAACTTGCTGCATGTTGAAAAAGATGAGGCAGATGAGGGCCACAAAGACCAGGGGAAGACCGCTCTGAGCTGGACGGGGAGGAAGAGCAGGATCGGGCGCGCTGCCGGCTGCCTGCTTCTTCTCTGCAGCGATGCGCGATGCTTCCTCGTGCACATCGGTCACCTGTCCCGAGCGGCGGGGGGGATGAGGGCATGGCGATCAGATAAAATCCGACGATCAAAAGCTCGTCGGGGGGAGCCACACTCACCGTCTTGTGTGCTGACGTGTACAAAGAGTGAATACGAGGGTGATTCGCAACGGCAGAGTAGTACTGCGAGGGGGGGGGAGAAAGAGGTATTGTGAATGGATTGAGGGCCAGCGATCTTCCCAATTCAAGGATGACGCGACGCGAGCCATACTCACCTCGTTGAACTTGGCCCAAGCAAAGTCGGTGCGAGCCTTGACTTCTGGTCTAGCCAGCACCTCGCCCGCCTTTCCTCGCAGACCCTCCACAGCCTTTTGAGCGTGAGCAGAGGCGGTCTTTGCTTGGGACGCATCAGCAGGTACAGTAGTCGTCGTCTTTGGACCATCTGGCTGACCAGGTGCATCGCCGGGAACAGGAGCAGACTGGGCTTCCTTTTCCGTAGCGCTTACATTGGCCGCGCTTCCGCTAGGTGTGTGCTCCGTCTTTTCGGTCAGATTGACACCACCCACGTTACGTTTGCTGATCTGCTCTCCCAAACTCTTGTCGAGCGAAGACAAGTAAGCCAAGAATTTGTTGGAGAGACCGTGCTGCTTGTCGTAAGCGATGGCTCGCTGGGCAACATCGTCAGAGATGGTGTAGCCGTGAGCCAAGAGCTCGGCGATCCTAGCTGTGCGAGGTTTGTCCTCCTGAGCCACGGATTGGGGAGTCACGCTGCTTGCTGATGCAGTCGTGGAGGTCGATACTTCCGCCTCGGCTGCTTTCTCTGCAGATGCGGCAGAGGGCAGGGTGATGGTCAAGACGGACCCATCTACCACGCCTCCCGACAGCCTGCGGGGCGCGGGAGAAGAGGCAGCAGGGCTCGACTGATCAGCTTGGCAGATGACTTGCGTGTATGCACGACCGAGCTCACATGACGGCAGAAGTGGCAGCAGAAGGACGCTTAAAAGTGACCTTTGCAGATTTGGACGTGGCGCTGGCGGCGGCGGAAGTATCGAACTGCACCGATTCGACATCGCCTACGAACGAAAAGTAGTCGTTGAGAGCGGCGACTGAGGTGTTGGGAGCGATGCCCTGCACATGTACGACGCTGGCCTCGCTCGACATGATGAGCTAAAGTGAGGAGGAGTGTAGACTTGTGATCAGTGCACGTGCAAAAGTCGAGGGATGGGCTGCAATGGAAAATGTGCGACAGTGGCCGGACAATGGAAGCTTTGATGGCAGCGTCGTGAGCGCAGACAGACCTTGCGAGGCTGTGGTGATTGAGCTGGTACGGCTTGCGCGATTGTTTGCTGTGTGTGATGAGAGTGTGACGCTGGGTGTACAACGTGGAGCGGTGA